TTTAAAATTTACACTTAATCTATTAATAAAGTTTATTGGAGCAAGACTCTGTTGGATATAAAAAAAAAAAAAAAAAAAAAAAAAAAAAAAAAAAAAAATTAATTTCTTTTCTGTTTCGTATTTTTTTTTTGAATAGTCATTCTTTGCTATTTCATATTTTTCCTTAACATTGCAAATAAAAAATGAAATTTCATTATATCATGTTAGATAACAAGTTTAATAACTATTCAATTTATTATTATGTTAACTAATTCACTTTTCGAAATTTTATCTTATTAATCTTATGAGAATAATAGAAAACGAGACTAAATTATTAGTGATATTAAATAACAGTTGTTGCTATCCTATTTTACTGCAATATTAAATATATGCAAATTTTTTTAATTCTATATATGATTGACAAGTAACAGTTAATATTTAATTAACACTAATCACCTTTGCATTCATGATAGTTTTATTATTCAAATCCTAGAAAATATACAAAGAGTAGTAGTAGCAACAATTAATTAATTACTTTATTTTTAATTTTATAAACTGAACTAGGAACAACTTCAATAATTGGTAATGAAAAATCAAAGACAAGATGAGAAATGCATATTAGATCATGTTGAATATGGTTTCAGCTAATTTTTATATGGTTTCTTACTATTACTCCTTTTGCACACTCCTGTAGAAGACTTTAATCTGGAAATTAATATAGTACACTCAACAATCCTCACACTTATTCTAAGTTTTAAATTTCTCCGAACAATATTAATGAATGATATCTGTGATCATATTATTTATTTACCTCTTTCAGTTATTTTTTCTCAATAATTCTTCGTGATTTTCCACTTTTCTTGATAATCCATTATGCTGCAGAAATAAAATTATAATTTTCAAACTGAATACGACAAGATATGAAAAAACTTGACAATAAAGTAAAACAATTTTTTTTCAAAAATTAGTTTATTTGCAAAAGGCTAAAGAAATATATAAGAAATATAAAATTTTTAAAATTTTTTGAAAAAAATATTAATTAAGTACAATTTGATTCTTATTATAGTTAATATCTTAATTCTTATTTTTCATAGTTATTATATATCAACAACACAGAAATCCTAATTTAGACTAGTTCACTAGAACAACCCATATTCAAATCTAGCTAGTGGTTCAATAACTTTTGAATCAATGATTTGTTCATAATTAAAGCCTGGTTTCAGTAGAGTCAGTTGAAAGACAGCCATATTTCCAATTCTTTCAGCAAACAAGTATTCAAGTATATCAGAAAGATGATAATTTTTTATGCAATTTAGCCAAAATGAATGTTCTTCTCCAGTAATATACATTTTGAAATTCAAAGATTTCAAAAATGAAATCTCCAAAGTATCAATTTCAGCTCGAGAGATATAGGATACTTCTGACCAGATCTTGCTTGCATATTTCTTATCGTTGAGCCATTTATTCGACAACATAAGTGCAATGGTGAAGAGTTGATATTCGTTGGTAAAATTGGTATTATTTCCTTTTTTGATATATATTTGTACATATTTTAATGCCAAGAAGACAGTTATTTTGAATATTGGAGATTTTGATCTAAAATTATAAAGAGAGTATTAGTTAATATTTACTTACTACTTTATAATAAACATACATTAAAGTATAAAAAAAGAGTATTGCTAAAATTCACCACAGGTGAATGTCACCACTAGACAAAATTTCATAGATCCTTGATCGATCCTAACTCTAACTTTGCTAATGGTGACAATCATCTGCTGTGATAGTCATAAATACCTCAGTACAAAATTTCTTAAAATGTGATTTTGCAGATCTATAGCTACTGCATTTTTTCAAATTCCACATCTTAAAGATAACATTTGCTGAAAGTTTATCTAAAACATGTGTTGTTGATTTATTATTAGAATTTAGGTTTTGCATTATGATATTAAATGTGTTGTAAAAAGTTTTGGAGGAAAAAGATATAATAAGATTTAAATGGATAGCAAAGACAAAAGTGATATTATTTAAACTAAAATTTTTTATGGTTTCTTTAATTGAAAGTGGGAAATTGAGAAGAGTTTTTTAAAAAAAATTCAAAAATTTTGGAAAATTAAAGGCATTAAGTAAATAAATAGTACAAGTATCGGTAATACAAAAAATTTGTTAATATACTGTAATACAAAATTTTATGATTTATGTATTGTGGTGACGACGAAAGATTGATAAGGTGGTACAAAGATAGCAGCGCAGAAAACATGTGGTATGGGAACACAAATGATGGAAATGATGGAGAAGTACAA